GCACAAGCCTCTTCCCAGTCTGTGGACCAGTCCAGCATCCAACAACCAGCCCAATCCAGCTCTCAGTCTGTGGTCTGGCCTAGTGGCCTGCCGTCATCACAAGCCAGCTCACAATCTGTGGACCAGTCCAGAGGAATACAGTTAGCACAAGCTAGATACCAGTCTGTGGTCTGGATACAGACTTGTAACTTCAAGTGTCTACTGGGGAGGTATTTTACCCATGATAGTCTTCAGAATTATTTGTGCTGCATTAGCGTGACTTAATTTTTGTTTGACATAATCTGCTTTGTTCTCTTATAACCCGTGTACACCTGGTGGTAAGATGAGTTTTGGTTGATCAGATCGAACAAGTGGATGATGCTAAATACAGGTTCTAAAATGTTTTGAGCTTGTCCACTTTCAACATCTTCCAGAGGTAGCCAAATGGGATTTAAACTTTGTTGGCTGAAGACCCAAGGTGTTCTCTTACCATTCCTGATTTCTAAAACTTGCTCACTGTTCAAAATGTTCTTGCAGCTGTCAAGGCAGAAACCTGCTGCTGTTTTGGGGGTCATCTCTGGTAACGTTCATGTGTGAATTGCATTAGCTTATTTTGTCCATTAGATGGAAAGATCTGTAGCTACATTTACCCGCCCATTTTAACATAATCCACTTGAGGACAACTATTTGTTTGTGTTTTTTCACAAACCATGCATAAACGCAATTTTCTCAACACCACAAACTTTTACATACATGCTGCTCACATATTATTGTAGCAGAGTTTGTGCTGAATACAGTGTAATCAGACTTTAGCCATGAAAGTGTTACAAGTAACAGAAATAAGCACAAATGTCAGAACACCTCCAGGGCCCAGAAAATAGAGGGTTCAACCTAAGTGCAGTTTATTTTACATCCAATGTGAACAAATAAATGAGTTTCAGATCTCTCCCTTGTGAACACTGTTTAATTAATGTCATTGACAAAAGAGCACCAGTCAACATCTAAATCCTTTACTTGAGAAGGGTGAGCGGCAAGAATTGCTTGGATTTCCAAATACACACAGACCTCCAACTCTCTGCCAAAAGGAAAAGTGCGTACGACTTGCTTAGACCCTGAGCCACATGGCGTTAAGTTCAAATCTGTGCGTGCACACATTTTATAAATGAGGCCCCAGATTTCTAGATCAATCAACTTATGACCCTGCATCTCAGCTGGCCCAGCCTGGATTACAGCTTTCTTCTATGCCAAAAATATCAAGTTACCAGTCTCTGTCCAGTTTTGGTTCCCAACCCTTGGAGCAAACTATAACGTAGTCATTGCTTCTGGCTATGAGTCCGTGATACTGTACAGCCTGGCTTTCAGGATACAGCACAGCTGCATTCCCAAACTACTCAAAGCAAGCTTTTGTCCCCAGGCATGTTGAGGCTGTTGCAACAAGTGAAGACATAGCTGCATACTTGATTTCTTCATGCGTTTTGCATTATAAATAACTTAATAAACATGTTTGTGGTTTTAGTGTTTACTGGGTTGTGTCTACAAACAGACATATGTATGTTATCACTATCCATTCCTCAAATAATTTATTGGTCAACATGTCAGAGTTAAATTAATGACATAGCTTCCTACTATCTCTAATATGCCTTTATAATTAAAGACAAATACTCCCTCCAATCTTCTGATAAAATTAGCAATACAACAACTGGCACTACAGTGACCCCTCTTCTAGTGCCCGCTAGAATGCTAAAACATGAAAGTAATATATACACTCACCGGCCACTTTATTAGGTACCCCATGCTAGTAACGGGTTGGACCCCCTTTTGCCTTCAGAACTGCCTCAATTCTTCGTGGCATAGATTCAACAAGGTGCTGGAAGCATTCCTCAGGGAGTTTGGTCCATATTGACATGATGGCATCACACAGTTGCCGCAGATTTGTCGGCTGCACATCCATGATGCGAATCTCCCGTTCCACGACATCCCAAGGATGCTCTATTGGGTTGAGATCTGGTGACTGTGGAGGCCATTTTAGTACAGTGAACTCATTGTCATGTTCAAGAAACCAATTTGAAATGATTAGAGCTTTGTGACATGGTGGAAGTAGCCATCAGAGGATGGGTACATGGTGGCCATAAAGGGATGGACATGGTCAGAAACAATGCTCAGGTAGGCCGTGGCATTTAAACGATGCCCAATTGGCACTAAGGGGCCTAAAGTGTGCCAGGAAAAAAACCCCTACACCATTACACCACCACCACCACCACCAGCCTGCACAGTGGTAACAAGGCATGATGGTTCCATGTTCTCATTCTGTTTACGCCAAATTCTGACTCTAACATCTGAATGTCTCAACAGAAATCGAGACTCATCAGACCAGGCAACATTTTTCCAGTCTTCAACTGTTCAATTTTGGTGAGCTCTTGCAAATTGTAGCCTCTTTTTCCTATTTGTAGTGGAGATGAGTGGTACCCGGTGGAGTCTTCTGCTGTTGTAGCCCATCCGCCTCAAGGTTGTGCGTGTTGTGGCTTCACAAATGCTTTGCTGCATACCTCGGTTGTAACGAGTGGTTATTTCAGTCACTGTTGCCCTTCTATCAGCTCGAACCAGTCTGGCCATTCTCCTCTGACCTCTGGCATCAACAAGGCATTTCCGCCCACAGAACTGCCGCTCACTGGATGTTTTTTCTTTTTCGGACCATTCTCTGTAAACCCTAGAGATGGTTGTGCGTGAAAATCCCAGTAGATTAGCAGTTTCTGAAATACTCAGACCAGCCCTTCTGGCACCAACAATCATGCCACGTTCAAAGTCACTCAAATCACCTTTCTTCCCCATACTGATGCTCGGTTTGAACTGCAGGAGATTGTCTTGACCATGTCTACATGCCTAAATGCACTGAGTTGCCGCCATGTGATTGGCTGCTTAGAAATTAAGTGTTAACGAGCAGTTGGACAGGTGTACCTAATAAAGTGGCCGGTGAGTGTATATATATATATATTATTCCTCCATAATCTACATACATCTGAATTAGAAGCAAACATTGGAATCTTATTGGAGAGAATTTATTAAAACACATTAAACAAATACACTGAGTACAAAGCGAAATGATGGTAGTTCACTTGTGTTTCCATATTCTTATCTCTGCAGCAGAATAGCAATATTGTTTTGCTCATAGCTGTTTAGAAACCAGGACAAAGATCTCTCTGGTCCAAAGTAATCTGAAGACATCTCACATGCAGTGCGTTCATTGCAACAAAGGTGTCTTGACCAGGGTCTTTTGGTAGCTTTTGAAGCCTAGTATGTACTTGAATGAAGAGACTTCTAACATTAGACTGAAGCGCTTTTTAAATACTTCATACATTCATTTTGGCTTCAGTTTGATTGCATTTAAATGGAGCTCAATGTCAATATCAATACTGTTATAAAAAAGAATAAATGAAATGGTGTAAACTCATCACACAGGATAAAAACAAAACTTAATTTCACAACACATTTTATGCTGCTGGCTCTCTCTTTATAACCTTGGGTTTAAGTTCCCTTGACTCTTGAGGCTGCCTTTATGTTTCATTGAAATCCTTTGAGGTTTCTCGCGTCCCCCCCCCCCCCCCCCCCCTCCCCCCCATAATCTTGAACCCCTTAAGTTAAAACTACTGCAAAAGAAACTATGATCACATTTACAGTCAGCCATGACACTTCAGTGCCATTTACATTGATGCTGAGATGCAGAAAACAAACAAAATACTTCATCTACATTAATTAACATGACTACCACAGACTGAAACTGAGTATACGAGTTATTGAAGGAGGTTTCTACTGCGTTTGAAATGGCCCATAGGAGATGTCGTCTCTATGGTCACATCCGATCTCCATATAAAGTGCGCTGCTTAAAACACAGTTACACAAGGCATATCATTTCAGATAAAAAAAAGAAAAAACGAAAAATCCATATCCACACCACTTATGGCACCAAAACAATCATGTCAATACTATCCATAAACTCGGCTTAGTAAACCGACGCACTTAGGGTCCAAGTTTTTACAAAATGTCAAGCAAACTGCATCTGACAATAGAAAGAATATGATAATAATAATACAAAATGTGTGTAATTAAGTGTACAAATTCAGTGTATCCACATGTGAGCCTATTCAGGAACAAGTTGGAAACACTGCACAAATATTTCTGTGGATCTGAATTCACTTTGAAATTAAAAACTCGTAGAAATATTTCAGGCATGCCGTTGATAACTACAGAATTATAATTTGGCTTGTCCCTTAATTTGTAAAATCAAACAAAATTTCTTTACAAAAGTCTTTAAAAATGCATTGTATCGTTTGAGAGTGTTTAAAAGCAAAAATTTGAAACTTGTTTTTGTTTAAGCACCTACATGAATAAATTAAATTAAAAAAATGTACATTTACGTAAATTAAAATAAATTTCAATCTATAAATTGTCCTTTTAAGTGAGACTACTTTTATACGTTACCAAAACATTTCCAGACATGGAATTATGGGCGGAGTTTGTTTCATTTTAACATGTATTCTGACAGTTTCCCCATAGACTTACATTGCAAATGAATTACTATAAATACTTTTGTTTTGTTTTTTACAAACCGAGGGACAAAATAAGTTCTGTGGTATTCTACAGCTGGCCACAGATGTTGTCAATAGAGTTCACATTGCATTTAAAATTAAACATTCCTTTAAAGTTGTTGGTAAGCTCTAACGTTTGACAGCAAACACCACAATTGGGATGTTTTTCTGATTTTTCAAAACTATCAGCTTAGTTCACAAAAACATTCCATTTGCCATTGATTTATTACCGCTTTTAGGTGCAATCTGAAATTTTTGTTCAGCAGGTCATGTGATCTTGAATGAAGCATCCCAAGCTTTTATTAGGCTGCTAATTCATTTGAGTGTACACTGTTTTAAATTGTTTTTCAAAAGTACTATTAATTTCCTTAGGGATAAAATGTTTTTTTTTTTAATGTTTTTATAATGAAATAAAATCACTAAAAGCACCATTTAAACTTTCAAGGGTCAACACTCTTTTTCTTCATAAAGAGTAAATGTAAACTGAAAAAAAAAAAAAAAATATATATATATAGTACAATTCAAAAAGAAAACATTAGTGGTGACATACTGTAAAATTATCTGAAGTATTCCAGAGAAAAATGACAGTCATTGCACTATTCTGTTTTTAGATGCACTACACAGCAATAACCTGCAGGGGCAGCAATAACACACCATTCATGAGCAGAACCAGGAGCAAAGCAGAGGCTGCAAATGAACCCAGAGGTGGGACGTCCCGTCCTTGAGCTGGCCAGGAACTAGTAGCACCTCCAGATGGCTCAATGTTAGCAGAGATGAAAATGTCCTTCAAGGCCATCAAGAAAAACACATCATGATGTAAAAATAATAATATAAAAACAAAGCTCAAAGGACTGTCAGAACAACGGTGCCCTCTACATAAGCGTCCTCAGTCTCTCCTTAATCGATCAAGACTTTCGTGTTGCAGAAGTTAAAAAAGAATGAAAGAGAAACGGAACTCTACCGAATAAAACTTGTAGGCGTGTACAAGTATTCTGAAAGACAAAAAGTGCAACTGATAAGGTTCGCTGTTTAATATTTGTTGTTTGGAGGAGTTCTCCGTGGTTCTGTCTGTGTCGTACAGATAGAGGATGGAATGGCTGCGGGCTAGTCCTCGATGCATATAACATCGCTGGGTTTGCCTGATTTCAAATCAGGGGTGGCCACATCTCGCAGAGCATCACTGGACTTCTTCTCCAGGTAGCTGGTTGGTGCCGGAGGTCCGTTTGAGGACACTAAGAAGAAGAAAACAGCAGAATTATACTTCCATATATTAAACTTAGATACTACCTTTAGTTATTACTTTCTCAGTGGTCACCAGGTAAGTCTTAAGGCCCGTTCACACCAAGGACGAAAGAGAACGATAAAGATATAGTTCTAAAAATTCTTTCTTAATATTAAAGAATAGCAGAGTTCACACCACAGCTATAACGGTAACGGCAACAATATAGTTGGAATCACTTTCAGAACGATTTTATCCAGCTGATGAACAATACAAATATTAGAATAAACGATACCGTCCGCTGGTGTGGACGCTAATACAGGGTTCCTACAGGTTTCTTCAAGTTAAATTCAAGTCTTTTTAAGACCTTTTTAAGACCATTTATATAAAAAAATGAATACCTATTTCACGTCCCTACCAGCAAAGAAAAACAAAATCCTTGAACTTGTGTTCATTTATTTTTCAAATGTGGAATGGGTAAAAGATGATAAGCCAAGCAGGTGTGAAAAATAAAAACATTTCAGTAGGCCACAAGAAAGTTTGCAGAACAATGTTAAGTTGTTTTTTAACATTAGCTAGCTACTTATTCCATGCTGGGAATATGGGGAACTGAGAGACCCCTGAACAATAAACATCGAAAATTACAATAATCGTGGTTGACAAATGAAACTTTTGAGGAAAAATACAATACGGAGAAGTTACATACAGCACAATTTTTAAGACCCAGACATCAAAATTCAAGTCTTTTTAAGGTATTATTTCCAAATTAATAAATCCAATGCTTTTAAGGCTTTTTAAGACCCCGCGGGAACCCTGTAATATAGTTCTTTATCTTTCTAGTTATTGTTCTTGGTGTGAACGGGCCTTTGCTCTCAGACTGCTTGCCGAAAAAATGCTCCAAGTAAGTGTCATTATAGAATTAGTTTTTATCTTTTTATTTCCATTTTTAGTTTGTTTTAGTAATTTTGCTATGTGCTTATGTCATAATTTAAATATCTCTATATAGCTTTTTAGTCATTTTAGTACTTCAACTTATTTATTTCAGTTAGAAGCCAAGGTAATATTTGCATTTTTCATAATTATACGTATTTTAGTTTTTAAAGTTTTTCCTCCTAATATCTATATTTTATTTAATATATTTCAAATTTTATAGCTTAATATTTAATAGTTTTAGTTTACATTAACAACATGGCTGTTAGTTGCATTTAGTACACAAAAATGGAAAGCACATGTGAAAGACACAAGCTGATCAGATTTTTTTGACTACAAGGTTAAAAAATGTAATCACAAGAAGTTCACTTGGTAGTGAAGTAGATATTAATTTAGATAAGTAAAAGGCATGTAAAAACAAGACTAACTGTGGTTGCTTGCTTTACATGTCGGTCAGGTGGTCTCTTCCTTTTCAAGTAGGCGGTTCTTGGACATAATATGCTGCAATAAGAATTCAAAGACATAAAAGTCTGGCTAAGGGAGACTAGATAAGTCTTAACCCAGCTAACAAAAAATATGTTCTAAAAACCTTTTGCTTACATTGCCATTAAGTTATGAAAACAGAAATTCTGAATGTTCTCTGAATGTTCAAATCGTCCAGTTTTTTTTAAACGTTTAAAAAAAGTTTTTTTCTTGGATATGGAAATGTGATGGGAACTTTTGAAGGTTCTCTAAAAATTCTGAAACAAGTGGTAATATTTACAAATGTTAGGCGAACATCCATCTATTCTACAATGTTTCAAAAAAACGTTAGATGAATTATGTATAGATAATGTTTTTGTGCTAAAGTATTGAAAACATTATTAACTCTTTTACAGGCATTGACAGACTTTTCCGTCATTTTTGAAACAACGCTTCCCCTCCATTGACAAAATTTTCCGGCTTTCCGCATTTTCCCTGCTATATGGTAGGGGGCGCTATTACGCATCTTCTGAAAGAGTAAAGAATCTCCGGATCAAAACACAGGCATAAAAGGAGCAGAAACAAGCGATTAAAGCATTGCTTATGCACATTGTAGTCTTTGGGAAAAAAAGCAATTTTTGTTCAAAATGTTGCTGTTTTAATGAAACTTACAATTCAAGTGTTGATTATAAAAAAAGAATGCATGAAGCTAGAATAAAACTATTCCTTTTATATATATGTTGCATGTTCAGATATTCATACTACAAAATATTCATTTCAAGACTAATGTAGGCCACTAACCACTGACGTACGGCCCCAGGGGCATCTGGCTGTAGTTCACCATCGCTGTGCCTCCAGGTCCACGGAACCCTCCGGCAAAACTGCTATTATACATCTGAGAACAGCTGAAAGAGCCCTGAGGGAAAGGCTGAGGGGAGGTGAAACAGAACATTCTAATATAAAGGTTCATTCACATAAGGCCCATTTATTATTCATCTTGTATGGACTACACATATGGCAAGAGACGTGTCACCTGCTGAGGTGGCGGCTCGTTGCCCCGGCTGGTGAGCCTGCTGAGGATGCCCCGCTCTGACATCTGGAGCCGGGAGGACACGGGTGGGACCCGCGAAAGCATGGAAGGCAACCGCGTCACGTCAGCCTTCATATCGCTTAACAGCTCCTCCAGCTGATTCAACACTGAAACAACACCAGTGAATATCAAAATAATAATAATAAAATAAAACTATCAAAGAACTTTACAGGTGGAGTTACAGAGTTTTATTCAGCAAGGATGCATTAAATTGATCAAAAATGACAGTAAAGACATAATGTTTTAAAAGATTTCTATTTTAAAATGAATCGCATTTTGAACCATTTTTCTATTCATCAAATAATAATGAAAATATTAGGTTTTCAACATTGGCAATAATACATTTTTCTTGAGCACCATAGTCATGGTCATGTTGTTTCACTGTCTTGTTAAGTTTCTAGTTTCTTCATTGTCATTGCCTGAGTTATTCATTAGTTGTCATGGTTTCTTATTAGTTGCGCGCCTGTTCCTTGTTCCTTTGATTACCTTCCTCTGTGTATTTATGCCTTCTGTCTTCCTCAATTCAGAGTCTCTCGTTAACATTATGTTACATTTACATTTATTCATTTAGCTGACGCTTTTATCCAAAGCGACTTACAATTGCTATGAGGTCGCACGCCTCTGGAGCAACTAGGGGTTAAGTGTCTTGCTCAGGGACACATCGGTGTCTCACAGTGGATTCGAACCCGGGTCTCTCATGTTAGTCATGTTCATTTATCATGTTCATTAAAAGTTTGATTTTATTGCTCATTCTGCGTCACGCATCTTACCTAGGGTTGCATTAACTACATGGCAACCAGTGACAATCAGCATATTAGAATGATTTCTGAAGGATCATACCACACTGACGATTGGGAGTAATGGCTGCTGAAAATTCAGCTTTGCCACCGCAAGAATACATTACATTTTAAAATGTGAAAAGATCTTTAATATTCAGTTGGATTTTGACCCAGTGTCACTGGTGGTGGGTATACCTAATGGACGCATTGTTTCATCTGCTAATAAGAAATTGTATAATATTCTATCCTTTGCTGCCAGAAAAAAATATTTTTCTTAATTGGATCAGTGATAAATCTCCATCTCTTAAAGATCGGCATAAGATCATTTTTGAGTCGATTCCCCTTTACTACATCAAAAAAACATGCCAGTTGTATAAAGTCTGGAACCCATATCTGGACTATTTGGAAACTCATCTTCGCCCTAATATATTACAAGGAATTTTGTAATTATATAACTCTCTGGAAATTGAACCTTTGTCCTCTTCTGCATCTTTTTGAAATATGTTATTGTTTTGTTTTTATTCTCTAATCTGTTCTCTATGGTTTAGTCCTGTTTTATATAAAAATCGGAGCTATTGGTGTTCCTTTATTTTATTGCGTTTTTTTGTGTGTTTTTTTGTATTTGTTATATTTGTATTATAATGAAAATTCAATAAACATAATTATAAATACAAAAATGTAAAATGTAGTCTTGATGAGCATAAGAGACTTAATTCAAAAACATTACAAATCTTACCGAACCCAAACTTTTGAACAGTAGTGTACATTTAGTTTTTATTCGGTTTATAAAGCTTCCAAGCATCAGGGTGTTTATTATATTTTTAGAATAACACCTTTGTGCAGCACAGCATTGGCTGGCTTGTTCCCAGCCAATGACTCTTTGGAGAGGTGCTGATGGGACTCAGCCAGGCACTCCACCTCTGCGAAACGCGTGTTGAGGGCCATGGCAGGGTGACTGGGGTCCTGAGTCATATTCAGGTACGCCGCGCGCCGTAGCTGCTCCTCGATTACCAAAGCCTGTTCCAGGAGCTAAAACGTGAATGAAGAATGAGTGAATATGAAAGATTCTTTTTATTGAATTCAAATAAAACACATAATAACTTGTACCTTAAAACGTCTGGCGAGAAATTTATTCTTCATTTCTAAGTAGTTCCCTTTGTGCATTTCAGTCTTGAAAGGCTCATTGAGAATGGTGTACCGTGGGTCATTCTGAATGTCCTGCCAGCGGGCATAGCCATGTCTGAGAGTACCTGGTTAAGGATTACCTTATTTACTAAAAAGGTTTTACACACAATAGCAATAAAGCACACAACCCAAAGTGGTAAAGATGTGTGTGTGTGTGTGTGTATTGAAAAACAGCACTTTAAAGAACACGTTGGGTGAACTATTTTAAAAGACAAAAAAAAAAAGTTTGGGGTCAGTAAAAGCTTCATTCTTTGAATCAGCAAGAATGCATTCAATTGTTCAGTGGCCGTAAAGATAATTATAATATTATAAAAGATTTCTATTTCATATCAATGTTGTTCTTTTGAACATTTGAACATCAAAGAATGCTGAAAATGTATCTTGAATTCCACAAAAACATTAAGCAGCTCAACTGTTTCCAACATTCATAGTAATAGGAAATGATTCTTGAGCACCAAATCAGCATACTGTATAAGAATGATTTCTGAAGGATCATGTGACACTGAAAACTGGAGTAATTCAACTTTTGTCATTACAGGAATAAATTACATTTTAAAATAAATTTTGTTATTTAAAATGTAATAATTATTTCTCAACAGTTTTTACTATCTTTTTAATCAAATAAATGAAGCCTTTGAGCATTAGACTTCTTTCAAAAACAAAAACAAAAAGAAATGGCAGTGTAAATGGCATTTTTTCTTTTAAAATATTTAAATTTCTGAACTTTACCATTCCATATATTAAAATTGGCACATCACACTCAGTTGTAACTTCATTAAGAAAAGAGAACAACAAAAACAACAAAAAGAAAAACACAATTACAGTAAGATAGAAGCCATTATTATAGCAATATCAAGACAGCTCAAAAGCTCTATGGAAAGAACAGGTAAGGATACGTTACGATGCCAGCCAGCAGCCAGTAGTCATGGCGACGGTGCCAGATGTCGTACATTTTGCCAGATGACACAGCTGCGCGTTCCTCGTTCTGCCACAATGTGTGTAATTCTGAACACACAAAAACAATCATGCACATCCATGCATTCTTTATCTCTGCAATAATTCACATAGAATTCTGAATCCGCTGTCCACGAGACAGCAAATCAGAACGACATCAATAAGACTGCAACTCACCTGTGAATCCTCCATCTGCGATGTTGAACATGAACCGAGTCTTGACGCTGTTCTTGTCATCTCTGTGGCTCTCGTCTGTGTCGTCCCTCGCATCTTTCTCTCCATTCAATTGGTTCACGATTTGTTCTTCAGACTTTAAATCATCAGGAATGGCTGCAAAAAACATGAATTTTTTTTACAGTAAGCAGAAAAGAAGAATTTGGCACTTTACTTTCCATTAATAGGGTACAAATCGATGTCCTATTAACTTTTCAAGCCTTAAGGATCAAATGTTTTTTTTTTGTTGTGAGACTGATTAAACTGACTGACAATTTTAGTGCTGTATGTGTGAAGCTCAACCATTCCACTCAAAGATATATATACAATTTACTTTTATTTATGGGAAATATAAATTTATCAATAAATACAAACCAACATTTGGTCCCAATCTATTGGGTCCCAATTTATACTTGGTCCCAATTTTTTTTTTTTTATTCTATTTTTAAATGTATTTATTTTCCAAATGTTGTCTATTTACTTTGGATGTCTGTATAATTTGTAATGCTAGAAAAATACAAAATCACAAATCAGGGTTTTAAGCAATAATCAGACATTTTGGTTGCAGGGTTTCACAATAAAATACAAAGAAAATGAATAGAACATAAAACAAGTAATATTTATTTTGACCTCCTGAGGGAGACAAACTATCTGAAGACACCTCTTTTTACTGACCATTTGTTGAAAAAAAAAAAGTTTCAGGCCCTATTGTGTAGAAAGTGTACATTTTAAGATGACAATTTGAAGATAAAATGGATCTGCAATCTCCTGACCCCTTTTATTCTTATCTTTTTTTTTAAGCATCATAAACAAATGCCACAAATACTGACCTGGTTTTTGCTCCTTTTCGTCTAATTTTGCTGGGCTGGGTTTATTTTCCCCTCTCTCCGGAGAAGTTTCTTTCCCTTTACCGCAGTCTTAAATACACAAAATATTTTAATATTTTGTTTATTGAGAGAAATTTTTCATAGAATCATTATATGCATGGTGAAGAATCCTTACCCAAAGGTGTCTGATTGGCTGACTGCTCACTAGGCTTAGTGGGCGGCTGTGCTTGATTGGACGATGACTCTGAAGGGACAGGAGGGGTGTCATTCTTCTCGTTCTCTTCTATTCGTTTCTCCTCCGGACTGCCGCTCTTTGACTCTTCTCCCTCACTGGTCTTCTCTGGTGCAGGGGAGGGTTCTGGTATAACTGGCTGATGTGAGAAGAGATACATTTTAATAAAGACAAGTGAAATGAGAGACAGAGGAGATATTTCTTGATGACTTCAGTCTGACCTCAGGGTCCAGCGATTTGGTGCTCTCTGGTTCTGTAATCTCCTTGTCTTCTTGAGAACCGGACATCGACTCCGTCTTATCTTTTTTGTTAAAAAAACAAAAGGCAAATGTTACTGTCTAATTAACCACAAACCACCAGCATTTCATTATATAGAACACATACACTCTCACACACCTGAAGGAACAGGTGTGCTGGGTTGAGTCGGAACCGGACTGGCAGGAACAGGCGTGTTGGGGTCCGATGAGACACTTTCAGTGAGTTTTTTCAGCTCCAATCCCACAGGAATCAAATCTGGTGTACTAAACTTCCCATTTACATGCTCAAACTCCTGAACCTACATACACAACAAAAACAAAAGCAAGAGAAAATGTAAGTAGTTTTCGTTTGTCAAATTAAAACTTGTAATTTATTTTTAAATATGTATTTTATTTTAATTTTAAAGGCCTGCTTAATTTGGATGCATATTTAATATGTATTGCTAGAAAAATCGAAATAAAAAAATCGGGGTTTTAAATTGTATTTACATACAACATAACAACATACAGGTCCTTCTCAAAAAATTAGCATATTGTGATAAAGTTCATTATTTTCCATAATGTAATGATAAAAATTAAACTTTCATATATTTTAGATTCATTGCACACCAACTGAAATATTTCAGGTCTTTTATTGTTTTAATACTGATGATTTTGGCATACAGCTCATGAAAACCCAAAATTCCTGTCTCGAAAAATTAGCATATCATGAAAAGGGTCTCTAAACGAGCTATTAACCGAATCATCTGAATCAACTAATTAACTCTAAACACCTGCAAAAGATTCCTGAGGCTTTTAAAAACTCCCAGCCTGTTTCATTACTCAAAACCGCAATCATGGGTAAGACTGCCGACCTGACTGCTGTCCAGAAGGCCATCATTGACACCCTCAAGCAAGAGGGTAAGACACAGAAAGAAATTTCTGAACAAATAGGCTGTTCCCAGAGTGCTGTATCAAGGCACCTCAGTGGGAAGTCTGTGGGAAGGAAAAAGTGTGGCAAAAAACGCTGCACAATGAGAAGAGGTGACCGGACCCTGAGGAAGATTGTGGAGAAGGACCGATTCCAGACCTTGGGGGACCTGCGGAAGCAGTGGACTGAGTCTGGAGTAGAAACATCCAGAGCCACCGTGCACAGGCGTGTGCAGGAAATGGGCTACAGGTGCCGCATTCCCCAGGTCAAGCCACTTTTGAACCAGAAACAGCGGCAGAAGCGCCTGACCTGGGCTACAGAGAAGCAGCACTGGACTGTTGCTCAGTTTTGCATGTCATTCGGAAATCAAGGTGCCAGAGTCTGGAGGAAGACTGGGGAGAAGGAAATGCCAAAATGCCTGAAGTCCAGTGTCAAGTACCCACAGTCAGTGATGGTCTGGGGTGCCATGTCAGCTGCTGGTGTTGGTGCACTGTGTTTTATCAAGGGCAGGGTCAATGCAGCTAGCTATCAGGAGATTTTGGAGCACTTCATGCTTCCATCTGCTGATAAGCTTAATGGAGATGAAGATTTCATTTTTCAGCACGACCTGGCACCTGCTCACCGTGCCAAAACCACTGGTAAATGGTTTACTGACCATGGTATTACTGTGCTCAATTGGCCTGCCAACTCCCCTGACCTGAACCCCATAGAGAATCTGTGGGATATTGTGAAGAGAAAGTTGAGAGACGCAAGACCCAACACTCTGGATGAGCTTAAGGCCGCTATCGAAGCATCCTGGGCCTCCATAACACCTCAGCAGTGCCACAGGCTGATTGCCTCCATGCCACGCCGCATTGAAGCAGTCAATTCTGCAAAAGGATTCCCGACCAAGTATTGACTATTGAGTGCATAACTGAACATAATTATTTGAAGATTGACTCTTTTTTTTTTGTATTAAAAACACTTCTTTTATTGGTCGGATGAAATATGCTAATTTTTTGAGACAGGAATTTTGGGTTTTCATGAGCTGTATGCCAAAATCATCAGTATTAAAACAATAAAAGACCTGAAATATTTCAGTTGGTGTGCAATGAATCTAAAATATATGAAAGTTTAATTTTTATCATTACATTATGGAAAATAATGAACTTTATCACAATATGCTAATTTTTTGAGAAGGACCTGTACATTACAACATAATTTGCTAACAATAAATATATGTACAGCCCATAAACACTCCTGGGTGTCACAATCACGTTACTTTGGACTCGTGTTTCGTCATCGTCTGCCTTTGTCACTCATTTGTTGTCACGGACACTGAATTATATTCAGCTGTGAACTCAATCATCACCATCATCATCACCTGTATATACTGTACTGTATGTTCGGTTCTCTGTCAGTGTCTTGTGTTGACTTTAGTGGATGTGTTGTATGTTGCTATATTCCTGTTTGGATTACCCGTTGGATTTATTAAAGGTGACATATTATGTCCCTTTTCACAAGATGTATAAATCTATGGTGTCCCCAAAATGTGTCTGTGAAATGTCAGCTCAAAATATCCCTCAGATCATTTATTATAGCTTGTCAAATTTGCCCCTTTTTGGGTGTGAGCAAAATCGCGCCGTTTTTGTGTGTGTCCCTTTAAATGCAAATGAGCTGCTGCTCCCCGCCTCTGTTCACGAAGAGGGCCAATCCTTAATACAAGCTTCGGATACTCTGGTAATAACAAGTGCGAATTTCATTTAAATCTCAGAAATAACCAGTAGCGGAGTGCAGCCTTACAGAGAGACGTCGGGAAGAGGTTGCAACTTATAGACGCACCTGGACATTTCTGAATGGTTAGTGGATACATTGATGTAGTTGTTATAGAGTTACATTGATTCATCTCATCGACTTGCATGTACTGTCATGTTTAACTTTTACACAAGTTGACAGTTCCCTGAGGTCTTTATAAGACAGCTGTGACATTTTTTGGTCAAATAGTGTTCTGTGCTCGTCTCTGCAGCAATGACCGAACAGTTTGCATGCTTTGATCCAACTTTTGCCATTGTGTTAGAACTGTTTACACTGTTGTAAACCAAATGGCGGCGCCGTGGGTGGAAACGTGCAGATTAAGGGGCGGAAATATTATAAAAAGATCCCCTTCCTACGTCAGAAGGGGGGCGGAATCTGATTGGCTTATTTTTTTTGACATGCTGGCAGAGAAAGGCTTACCAAAACAACTGGGTTACTGGGTTGTCACTTTTCATGTTTTCAGGGTTGGTAGATGCACAGGGGACCCAATTATAGCACTAAAACACTGAAAAAGTCCGATTTTCATGATATTTCCCTTTTAAATATTACCTTATTGCCTTAATAATTCATCTTCGTGTGTGTTTATACAACCACCCGCATGACAGAGGGCAGAAAAAAAGGCTAAATATTTAGTGGTCTTTTAATGGGCTTAACCATTTTAATCACAAATCACTGGTCAGGAAATTAGCACAAGTACTGTAGAAAAAATAACTGCACGAACATTGTCTTGTTGAAACTGATCAATTGTGGGAAGCAAGCCATTCTGCAATATTCTCCTGTACTCCAAAGCATTAAATGACTATTCACAGTGAAGTAGCTCACCAATACCAGCAGCTAAAAAGTCTCCCACACAATGACACCTCTTCCTCCATGCTTCACTGTGGTAAATATGCATTTATTATTATATTTCTCGGCAGAATTTTGAAGACACAGCTCTGGAGCATCACCTTGCAACTCGAGTTTCATTGTGATTCATCACTCCACACACAACTTCCCATTATCTGCAAAAACCTCATTCTGTCTTTAATGTTTTTCTGAGACAGCAATGTCCAGAGGAAATAAAAATAACAAATGAGATCTCTAACATCTCAAATGTTTCACCTAGACAAAAATGAGGTTACTTTAACATCGAATGGAGACTTTTGCTTGAGTCTCCTGCTTCTCACACTTGCCTCCTGAGACAAAAACTCTAACACTCTCACAACGGTCTCCTTTAAAGTTTTAGAAGAGATCTCATCTTCATCACACACTGTGCTCATATTTTTCTCCTTAGCTGGAGACTCTGGATCGCTCACATTTGTCTCCTCTAAAGTTTTAGACAAGATCTCAACAACATCACACACTCTGCTCATATTTTTCTCCTCAGCTAGAGGAACTGGAGCTCTCATATTTGGCTCTAAAAGTTTAGAAGAGACCTCAATAATATCACACAATGTGCTCAGATTTTTCTCCTAAACTAAAGACCCCGGTGGTCTCATATTTGTCTCCTCCAAAGTTTCAGGCAAAATCTCAATTAATAACAATAACAATATGATACTAATAATAATAATACAAAAAGAGCAACCTTTGCAAGACAATAAAGAGATCTCCCATGTTTCTCACAGGCCATCCTCATTTTGGACTCCTTTTTCTCAGAACTTTTTCATGTCTTTAGGAGAAACATCTGAGACACTGTTGATACTAAAATGAGCGATATTTGAGAATCACAACTAAGTCTCCTAAGCTTAAAAAGAGCAACCTCTGAGCAATAAAATATTCCTATAATGGAGTCTTGAAAGAGATTGCAGCAAGACAATAAAGAGATGTTCTATGTTTCTTCTGCCACATTCTCAGTTTTGGCTCTTTTTCTCTCAAACATTTCTCATGTCTCATTTGTGTCTACTTTGATTTATCCTAAGGAATTTTAGGAGAAACATCTGAGACATTGTTGATACTAAAATAAGATATATTACGAGAATCACAACTAAGTCTCATGAGCTTAAAAAGAGCAACCTCTGAGCAATACATTTTTTTTAAGTAGTGCATTTGCTTAAATTTTGTTAATTTCCTGACCAATAAAGTTAAGACAATTAAAAGCTTAGTGTTTAGCTATTTTGACCCATTTTGTTTTTAGCCCAGGCATGCATATATACAGTTAGGTCCATATATATTTGGACACAGGCACAATTTTCACACTTTTGGCTCTGTATGCCACCAGAATAAAATTAAAATGAAACAATCAGGATGAATTTGAAGTGCAGACTTTCAGCTTTAATTCAAGAGGTTGAACAAAAATAGCAAGTAAACATTTTAGAAACTGCAACCATTTTTATACACAGTCCCCCCATTTTCAGGGGCTCAAATGTAATTGGACAAATTAATATAATCATTAATAAAATGTTTATTTTTAATATTTTGTTGAGAATCCTTTGCAGGCAATGACTGCCTTAAGTCTGGAACTCATGGACATCACCAAAGACTGGGTTTCCTGCTTTGTGATGCTTTGCCAGGCCTTAACTGCAGCTGTCTTCAGTTGTTGTTTGTTCGTTGGTCTTTCTGCCTTTAGTTTTGCCTTCAGCAAGTGAAATGCATGCTCAATCGGGTTGAGATCAGGTGATTGACTCGGCCATTGCAAAATTTTCCACTTCTTTTCCTTAAAAAACTCCTGGGTTGCTTTTGCGGTGTGTTTTGGATCATTGTCCATCTGTACAGTGAAGCGCCTTCCAATCAACTTTGCTGCATTTGGCTGAATCTGGGCAGACAGTATATTCCTATACACTTCAGAATTCATCCGGCCGCTTCTGTCTTCTGTCACATCATCAATAAACACCAGTGATCCAGTTCCACTGGAAGCCATGCATGCCCATGCCATCACACTGCCTCCACCATGTTTTACAGATGACGTTGTATGCTTTGGATCATGAGCTGTTCCAAGCCTTCTCCATACTTTTTTCTTACCGTCATTTTGGTACAGGTTGATCTTAGTTTCGTCCGTCCAAAGAATGCTTTTCCAGAACTGGTCAGGCTTTTTTAGATGTTTTTTGGCATAGTCTAATCTGACCTTTCTATTCTTGATGCTTATGAATGGTTTGCACCTTGTGGTGAACCCTCTGTATTTGCTCTCGTGAAGTCTTCGCTTGATTGTAGACTTTGACAATGACACGCCTACCTCCTGGAGAGTGTCCTTCACTTGGCTGGATGCTGTGAATGGGTTTTTCTTTATCATGGAGAGGATCCTGCGATCATCTACCACTGTTGTCTTCCGTGGACGTCCAGGCCTTTTTATGTTGCTGAGCTCACCAGTGCATTCTTTTTTTCTCAGAATGTACCAAACTGTTGATTTGGCCACTCCTAATATTCCAGCTATCTCTCGGATGGATTTATTTTGTTTTTGAAGCCTAATGATGGCCTGTTTGACTTGCATGGAGAGCTCCTTTGAACGCATGATGTAGGTTCACAGCAATAGATTCCAAATGCAAATACCACTCTTAGAATCAACTGCAGACCTGTTACCTGCTTAATTGATAAAGAAATAACGAAGGAATAGCCCACACCTGTCCAAGAAACCACTTTTGATTCAATTGTCCAATTACTTTTGGTCCCTTGAAAAAGGGGGGTGGCTACTCTCAAGAGCTGTAATTCCCAAACCCTTCCTCCTATTTGGATTTAAATACTCTCAAATTAAACCTGAGAGTGTGCACTTTCAGCCCATATCCATTATATAACTATAGCTTGAATATGTTTTGGTAAATATCTGGAAAAAAAAGAATTGTGCCTGTGTCCAAATATATATGGACCTAACTGTATATATATACATATATATTGTGTGTGTGTGTGATTCAGTTATATACTGTATATGTACAAAAAACCCCATAAATTAATAATTAAACAAATAATAATTCCATCAAAAGTGCACATATAATGCAGCAAGTAATTCATCACCTTCTTGCGCACCAGAGACATGACACCAATCCGGGTGAGAACGTGTTGGCGGGACAGGCCTTCCCTCGGGACCCCATCTGCAAATGTCTCTGCTCCATCTGCCCCCGGCTCACACAGGTGCCTCATGAACAGAGACACATAAGCCCTGAAAAACATACAAGAATAAAGACCAACGAATGAAAATGCAGAAAAAATATGAACAGACTATTACAGAGAGACACACACATACCTGAACTCCTTTTCACTTTTCCCTCTCAGGTCACGGACCAGCCAGTGAGAGTTGAAGGCATCTTGTGGGGGCATTCCCCAGCGCATAATCGCATTCAGGAAGGCTTTCCGCTGCCTGGCATTAAATCCCAATACCTAAAATCCCAAAGGTAAATAGCCAAATGAAAGGTTAAAATTATGAAAAGGAATTACCTGATGAAAGGAATTACACAATACACTTCTCATAATATTGTAAGAAGATTCACCTCTATATTTCCACCAACTCTAGCCAGCAACGGAGGCAACGGTTTGTCCCGATCACTCTTCAACTGTCTGCGAGATTGTCTGCGTCCTCCTGGAGGAAGAGCAACTCATTTAGGTGACTGAAAATCTCCAAGTACTTTGATGTCTGCCATCAAGCATTCACTACTGTCCATAAATGTGGGGTCAGATTTTTTTTAAATGTTTTTGAAAGAAGTCTCTTATGCTCACCAAGGCAGCATTGATTTAATCTATTGTGAAATTATTTATAAATAAAATAACAAATCATTTCTATTTATTACTATTTCTATTTTAATATATTTTAAAATGTATTCCTGTGATGGTAAAGCTGAATTTTCAGCATCATTACTCCAGTCTCCAGTGTCACATGATCCTTCAGAAATCATTCTAATATGCTAATTTGGTGCTCAAGAAACTATTTTTATTATTATAAATGTTGAAAACAGTTGAGCTGCTTAATATTATATGGATTTTTTGATGAATAGAAAGTTCAAAAGAACAGCATTTATTTGAAATAGAAATCTTTTTTTTTAATGTTAGAAATCTCTTAACTGTTACTTTTGATCTATTTAATGCATCCTTGCTGAATAAAAGTATTAATTTCTTTTTAAAAAAATCGTACTGATCCCAAACTTTTGAACAGAAGTGTGTATATAAGGATGCCTACCTTCAGGTCGTTCCTCAAAATCTTCATCCTCATCCTCGGACCCGACAGAGTACTCTGACTGATTATCTGAAAGATCGTCCTGCCATTCTGAGAACAGGATTGAGACGGAAATTCTTGTACACATATATAATGCAGTTTTATGCTGAGTTATAGCACTGTCAGCATCTGTGTTTGGGTACCTTGATCCTCCTGAGAGGCGTCATTATAGTTGACCTGTTTGCGGATGCGTTTTCCTTTGCCCAGGTTCCTGGCCAGATCCTCCTGCTGCTGCTCATAATGATGCCTCAAGAGCTTCTCCCAGTAATCTGGATCAACATTCTCTTCCTGCTTAATAATCTCCCTCTGGACCTCCTCCTGCAGGAACAACACAAATACAGATCATACATCACTGGCCTCTTATTGACTTCAGCTAAGATAATTATAATTATTATAGACTAATAATAATCCTAAATATTTGGGATTTGTATATAAGATAATATCATTTTTTTGTATTATTTAGTCCCTTTAAGCTACATGAAGCCTTTCCTCCATAATAAAGGTTTTTGGCCCAACAAAGAAACCTTCCTTACTAAAAGAACTGTGGTGGTACCATGGTACAGTGAGGGTATGGTTAATGGTACTTTGATATATAACAAGGTACTGAATGCTTACCATATTCATATACCATGGTGCTCCAAGGTAGAAAATCCACACAAATCCACAAATCTTTATCTTTAGGACTTACTGTCTGCACTGTCATTTTTCTATTGCCGAAATCGAATTCCTTTGTTCAGACAGCTGTGTATCTATATGGGTTGCTAAAGTAATGATGTAAGCATCAGCATGATCCCAAAAGACTTTCTCAAATTGATAATAGCTGTCTGTCAGTGTGGAAAAATATGGAAAACTGGACAATTTTCTATCATGACATCTCCCAATAGGTACATGAGAGAATAATTGACATTTTACACATTCATGTCCAAAACTGCTGACTTTCTCACTCACTCACTCACAATTGACTATTCACTACATAGAAAAAAAGACAGAGAGAGTTAAAATGAGCGCATTCGAACATAGCTCCAAACACTGCGTACATTGTATGACATTACATACACATTTTTTCATGTTTTTGAAAGAAGTTTCCTAAGACCTCGGCTACATTTATTTGATCGAAAATACAGTACAAATAGTAATATTGTGAAATATTATTACAATAAAAAAAAGCAGTTTTTTCATTTTTTATTTATTCTTGTGATGGCAAAGCTGAATTCTTTGATGAATAGAAAGTTCAGAAGAACAGCTTTTATTTGAAACAGAAATCTTCTGTAACATTATAAATGTTTTACTGCCACTTTAGATCAATTTAATCCCTCCTTGTTAAATAGAAGTATTAAAAAAGCTTTAGAAAAAAAACCCCGCCAACCACTGACCGGCAGTGTATGCGTCAGGTCACAAAATAAAGAAAATGATTTACAACCTGATGTGACTGTTTAATTGAAAAGAAAAATAAATTTAATAATAATAAATAAATAAAATAAACAGGTGTAAACATCGTTTACACTGCATTGCACATTTTTTGTCTTTTCAGACTGCAAAAAAACAAACCCCTTCAGAGATGCCCAATAATCAGATTTTTTTCTGCCTGCAGGAACAATGCTGCCCCTCCACATAATACTAAAACCATAAGCAAACAACAATCCAAGGGGCTTTTGTGAAAAACCTGCAACTTGCAAAACTATGCCCTCTTGAGCATAGAAGAGTCAAATAAAATAAAGCATTTCTAAGGTAGTCATTCTGAAAGGATGAGCTACCATTCATCTTTGATCCCTTGTTTAATAAAAAAGAGGCATGAGGAACAGACAGTAAAGCATCTGAATCTCACCTCTCCATCCTCCTCTCTCACCACATACTGAGCCACCTTAAATGAGCTCAGGTACTCGTTCATGTTCTGGATTTCTGTGTCTTCAGTGGCATCCTGACTACGATCCAGCAGTTTAGAGATGGCGTTATCGTCATAGTGTATCACACTACCCTCTTCTCCTTCTTTATTGTCTCCTGCGAAAAAGATTTAGGACGTGAACTACTAGAATCCACCAAATCCACAAACAAAGTGCAGAAACATTTTTCTTAAACCACTTCAGCTTACCCATCGTCCTGGCAGCTTCCACGTCGTCTTTGAAAAGCTCCTCAGTGCCAAACTTGAGGATGTCGTCTAGTTCCTGTTTGGACATGGATCCTGTCTTAGAGCCCAAGCCAGGACGCACCACCAGGTGGGTCAGCATCATCTTTCGCTTGGCCACCTGGGTAATACGCTCCTCTACGGATGCCCGAGTTACAAAGCGATAGATCATCACCTTTTTATTTTGCCCGATACGATGCGCCCTGCTGAATGCCTGCATGGACAAAGAGAATAGATGAAGACAAAGTGGAAGAAGAACACAAGCAAGAAAAACGTAAGTGATAATTGAATAATGGAGAGCTATAGATAAACACGATTTCATAATATGTAATATATCAACATTATACGTATAATCTATATATATATACACACATATATATATATATATATATATATATATATATATATATATATATATATATATATTGTTATTGTTATTTTCATATTTTCTAGCATTAACATTAAGCATCCAGATTAAACTGTCAATTTAAAAAAAAAATATATATATAATATTATATATATTAATATACATATACAGTATATATATATAAAATCTCTCATATACATAAACATACTTTTTTTAATACAATTCATATAATAAAAATAAATAAATACTGTCACTTTAGATAGCTTCAGTTTTTGCTTGTAGTGCAGTTAAATACTTTTAATAGTATTTTAACTACACAGTTTACTTCCCCAGCACTGGTGTTTGCATTACCTGAATATCATTGTGTGGGTTCCAGTCAGAGTCATATATGATCACTGTGTCTGCGGTTGCCAGATTGATGCCCAATCCTCCAGCACGTGTAGAGAGCAGAAAACAGAACTGCTGAGCCCCGGGTGCTGCACACAGGGTGACACAGTCAGTATGAGTGCCTTAGTATTCACTATCCCACACACGCACAGACATCACTGCAGGTTTACTACCGGCATCCTCACCGTTAAATCGATCGATGGCCTCCTGTCGCAGGCCCCCTGTGATGCCCCCGTCAATACGCTCATATTTATACCCCTCAAACTCCAGGAAGTCCTCTAGCAAATCCAGCATCTTTGTCATCTGAGAGAGGGATCAACAGTGCAGGATAAGACAGAAACAAAAAGATACCTTTATCCAACAAAGGGGAAAATGGCAGCATTAAGCACAATGTAAAGCAAACCTGGCTTGCCAGGTCATACTTAATTCCATCCATGCAAAATACAACAACAAGAGGGGACAGAGGCACGGCACTCACCTTTAATCAAGCTTAAAAGACTGAAGAAACAACTATAACATTAATATGTTTATTCTCAAGCACTTAGAAAAGAAAAGGGTGGAAAAATGAAGTCTCATCGAGACAACCCCCCTTTACATGTGCCATTCATCAAATTAATGGATGCATTGATTCCACAGGCAATTTAAAATGGGAGGGAAAAAAGTCAGAGGACTAAACAACAAAGCAGAGATAAATATAGGCTCCGCCTTTCCATTTGTCAACTCCATTTAAAAGATGAATGAGCTCCCCTTTTATTTTCTATTCAGTTTACCATCTAATTAATCTTCCATTGAAATAGAGGCAAGTCCGCCACATACAGTATTTCTGTTTTTTCCTTTTGTTATTCACATGGCATTTTGAGCTTCAAAAGAGGGAATAAATACCACACACTATACCTGAGAGAAGATAAGAACCCTGTGCCCTTCGTCTTTGAGTTTTTTTAGCATCTTCTGAAGCAGGGTGAGTTTCCCTGAGGATTTCACCAGGAGGTTACCGTCGTAAGAACCGTTGGGTAAGACTGGAGCTTCCTGCATGCATAAAAATCAAACGATTTTTGAAATCAAGTTATTTTAAACACTATTTTAACATAATGCCATATCTTATGCTGACCAAGGCTGCATTTATTTGATGAAAAAAAAAACTGAAATATCACATTAAATATGAAATATTAAAATTTGAATTATATTTCATTCACAATTCTTGTGATGGCAAAGCTGAATTTTCAGTCTTCAGTGTCACATGATCCTTAGAAAATCATTCTGATATGTTGATTTGATGCATAAGAAACATTTCTTCTTATTACCAATAAAAATAATAATAACAGTAAAATAATATAAATTAATAATATTTTTGTGGAAACTGTGATCTATTTTTTGTTAGGATTCTTTGGAGAAGATTTTTTGTTAGGAAAGTTTAAAAGAAAAAACAGCATTTATATCACATAAAAATCTTTTGTAACATTTGATATTAACTTCTGATAATTCATTTAAGGATCATATTTGATGACGTTTGCATCATTGATTCTGTTATGCTCCTGTTTATTACTGTAAAGCTGATTTGAAACAATCTGTATTGTATAATAGCACTATATAAATAAAGGTGACCTAAACAACTTCATTATGCCAGAACTTCTTGTCCTTGAACATGAGAATGTAATATAAGGCTAATATTATGCATCACATTCGCTTCAGGACACTAAGAAACAATACACTCCTGAACAAAAGCTTCTCAGCCTTTAAATAGCTCTTATAAAACAGAAACTGTATTGCCATTACATGTGCTAAAAATAAACAACAGCAGTGGTATAAATTGGGGGCCTCCATATGTTCTCCTCCCCTCCCCTCCTCACCACTGCAGCCACTGGAAACAAGTAGGGATGGTTGCAGCATTTCTTCAAGTCCATCATGATGTTAAGAAGGGACACCTGGTTCCCTCCTCCCTTGGAATTCAATGCCTCAAAGTTACGTGTTAAAATGAACTTGTAGTATTTCCTGTGAGAGAAAAAAATATTAAATGATCTTGCATGTGAAACAGGGGTATTATAGTTAATGGAAAAGTAAAACCATAAAAAAACTTTTTTTTTTAAATGTATTACTTGAAATAAATGAACATTAATGAAAAAAAAAATGGAAAAAAAACTTAAGCATTAGGAAGAGACAAACTATGACTGACTTCTGCATGGGGCTGAGTTCTACTCGCACTATGAGCTCGGTTTTTGCCGGCATGTTCTTAAACACATCTGCCTTCAGTCTTCTGAGCATGTGTGGCCCCAGCAGGTCATGTAGTTTTTTAATCTGGTCCTCTTTCGAGATGTCCGCAAACTCCTCCAGAAAGCCCTCCAGGTTACTGCGCACAGCAACATTTTCATTTGGATATAAGGGAAGATAGAATTCACTTCCATCAAATCATATGAAAAACATGTTCCATTATAAGCCCTGAGATTGCTCTGCGGGGGATCATTATTCTACGAGCAGATCTACAGTATGAATCACCAGGTGAATCATGCAGTCTGCAATCTTACTTGAAGCGCTCCGGGGTGAGAAAGTTGAGCAGGTGAAAAAGCTCTTCGAGGTTGTTCTGCAAAGGGGTTCCGGTCAAGAGCAGCTTATAGTAGATTTTGTAGCCATTCAGAATTCTGAAAAACTGAGCGTTGATTTATTGATTATTTAATCATTTATTAAGCAACCTAAAAAATATCTAAAGCTATAAATAATAATATTACGATATAAAGTGGGGCACAAAAGGAAGAGACAATAAAAAAATCTGCTATTCAAAATCTAATTTAAACCTGAAAATGTTTTAGTTTTTATTACATACATTTTTTTTAGGATTTTAAACAATGTACAACTAAGGTAAAATGTAAAATTGAAAATTCTGCACTAAAACTGGTAATAAATCAAATATTTAATATTAGTAATAAAAAAATATTTTTATTTTACAATTGTTATGACTATGATGATGTCAGTAAAGCAAATGTAAATCTTTCCTTGAATTCTGTACCTTTGACTGGTTATTCTTCAGTCGGTGGGCTTCATCCACAACCAGACATGCCCAGGTAATAGAGCCAAGTATGGCCTGATCAATGGTGATCAGTTCATATGATGTCAGCAGGACATGAAACTTTATCGGCGTGTCCTTCTGTGATGGAAAAGTGCGATATAACTGACTCTGATCAGAAACAATGCATCTCTAAATTAAACCTTTCAGAAGCTAGGATACTTTGTAAATTGTTTGGATGCTGAAACATGTATTCAGGTACCAGTAAAAATCATCTTTAAAATTTGTGAACAAAAAAAGTGTTTTGGTGCAAAATATTGTTTTGGTTGGAACATGGTAAAAAGCATTAGAATGTTTCACTCTGAATTAATTATAACATCGGGTTGACGTTAATCAACAACTTTCTCTCACCTTCATGCGGAAAACCTTGCGCCCCGATTTGACGGCGCTGTCCTCGAAGGTAAATTCATTCTCGCGTATGACGGCCCTGCTGTCTTTGTCCCCTGTGTAAGTCACCACGTAGAAATCTGGAGCCCACATCTCGAACTCTCTCTCCCAGTTGATGATGGTGGAGAGTGGCGCACTGACCAGAAACGGCCCTTTGGAGTGACCCTGAAACAAGCAACTCAGTTACACTCTGTTTCCTTTCACTCTCAAATGCATTTGAAAGAAAGTTCAAGTGGCGCACAGACCTCTTTGTAGAGTGAGTACAGGAACACTATAGTCTGCACAGTCTTGCCAAGGCCCATTTCATCAGCCAAGATTGTGTCGGTTCCTTGGGCCCAAGAGAAGCGCAACCAGTTCAGGCCTTCCAGCTGGTATGGGTGCAAAGTTCCCCCTGTGTCATCGATGTACCATGTCTGCTGTTCAAACTTGATGGTGGGCTGTGTCCAATGATATATCAATTTGGGAGGGAGTGATAATGGGATTCAATCTACGCAAAAAAAGTGAAAACTGACAAAGTGGCAAAAAATACATTAAGCAAAATAGCAACTCACATCCACAACTGGAGTGTCTGGGGGAGGTTCTCTCCTCTTCCCTTCCTCTTTGAGTCTCTTTCCCTTTCTAAACAGCAGGGGGTGATAACTTTCACCGAGCACCTGATTCCTGGAAAAAGTGTGAGTGTAAGTGCTTTTCACACATTGAGTTCCATTACTTTTTTTTAAGCATTAGAGGCACAAAAAATATATATATATTGTGAGAAGTTTATCGTATTAGATATAGATAAAATATGATTTAACATAAAGTGAACCTAGCATAAACAGTTTCGTCTTAAACACATAAAATATCTGTATTTCTGCCTTACAATTGTGGTTTTGGCTTTCAACCATGTCATAATTTTAACCTTTTTAACTGATATGTAGTTTACAGTATAAAAAAGAACAATATATTTGTAATGTTATTGTAGTTAAAAAATATGAACTAATTCTAAATAGCAAAACTACCATTAAAATATAACACATTAATATTTGAAAAATATAAAAAATATACTATGAAATACTTTCTAGAGCATGGTACGGATGTACGGTAGACAAGTACATTTTTCCATTCATTATAGTTTTTACTACATTTCTAAAGTTCAACCATTCAACCAAAGACTTGTTTTCCGGTCATCTTTGAAAGTTATTGTAAAAAATGATAAAAATGATATTAATATTAATTGAAATAATATTCAATTACAGGTATTAATTTTGTTTTGCCTATATATGTTTTTTTTTACTCTCAAAGTGACGGTAGCTATTAACTTGCATTATACCAATCACCAAGGACCATGGTTTCAGCTAAAAATCTTCTTTACTGCTCGACTGAATAAAAAAAGACAGATACATCTTGCATGTCCTGAGGGCCATCCAATTTTTTTTTTTTTTTTTTGGTGAACTATACCTTTAAATTTGAAACACTGTTACTAATTCTGGTGTGTGTATATATATATATATATATATATATACACACATATATATATATATATATATATATGTATATATATAAACAAAACACTGTATTTTTAATTTGGATGTGTTTGTTTATTGCTAAAATGCATTGCAGGGATGCAGAAATTGCAAGCATTCAATTAAATTAATAAAAAAAATTGAAATATAAAATATTTAGCTTGAATTTCTAAGGCTGATGATTAAGAGCTTCAGGCCATACAATATTTAGTACCCTCTTCAGGAAAGTTCTACATTCGTGTTGACGTACCATCTAAATCTACATCCAAACTTGAAACGGCTTACCTGTGGTCCCAGTAGGCTTGTTTAAAGCTGTCATAATCTGGGACGGTGAAGTCATCAGCCTCCCAGGTGCACTGGTCATATGGCAAATCTCTCCACTTGATCAGGTAGTGTACATCTCCATCCTTATCAAAACTTCAACATACACAACACAGTCTTAAAGCATATAAATAAATCAGAATTTTCAGCAAGAAAAGCAGAGTAGCTTTAGCACAAGTGACTGTGGCCCACCGTACCTGTGGTTGTGAATCCGGTGAATGATCATCCATTCCGGCTTGATGCCGTAACGGTAGAATTGTTCCTCCATGGCTGCATACTGAGGGTCTTTGCTCCTCCTCTTCTCGTTGTTAAGCTCCTCCTCCCCAGAGCCATAGTCGTACGGTGGCGGTTCGTCCATGTCGTTCTTCCGCTGGTAGTTACGGTACATTACTGTGTGATATAGCTCCAACTGCATCAAGGGAAAGAACTTAAGCTGAGATACAGGAACAAGCCAAAAGAGCATTCACGATTTAATTAACGTTGGCTCTTCTGAGGTAATGTGGGAATCCCACCTGAAGTTCGCTGACCCAGGAGCAGTGCCAGTAGGACAGGCCAGCCCATTTCACAAACAGCTGCCTCTCTGGACGGCCCTTCAGTGGTATTTTGGCCAAAGCATCCACCTTCTCTCCATCCTGCCCAGGGGGAACCTCAGGTGGCAGAGGAGGATCGCCCCACGCCCAGTGCAGAATCTTCTGGACTTTCCCTTTTAGCGGTGGGCACTAGGGGAAATGTGGATGAGGAATATTGTTCAAGTGTAAATAATGTTCAAAACAATTTGTATATTTACTTGCGGTTTGAGTTTGATTCCAGCAGAGCTTAAAATAATTTGATTTATAAATATATACATATAAACATTTGTGAAGTCACACTTATTCTGTTTTTTTTAACATTCTATTCATCAAAGAATCCTGAAAAAATGTATCATGGTTTCCACAAAAATATTAAGCAGCACAACTCTTTTCAACATTGATGATAATAAATGTTTCTTGATCACCAAATCAGCATATTAGAATGAAGAAGAATATTTGTGACACTGAAGACTGGAGTGTAATGGCTGTTGAAAATCACATTAAAAAAATATTAAAATAGATAATAGTTATTTTACATTGTAATAATATTTTACAATTTGCTGTTTTTCATCAAATAAATGCAGCCTTGGTGAGCATAAAATACTTTTTTCAAAAACATTTTTTTTTTTAAATGACTGGCCCCAAACTTTTGAACGGTAGTGTAGCTTGGCTTCATCCAGTTAATCAGAATACAACCAAACTCTGCACTGTGTGCTTGCTCCGAAAAACAGCAGTGATGTGTATTTAATCCTATAAATATTCAATTGCACTGTGTCATGTATACTTGCACAAACAGATGAACATTATAGCTGAACTACGCAAAGACTCACTTGATTATAACATTAAAGTCGGCATGAAACGGATGTTGTGAGTCTTTTCTTTCATATTGTGATGTACAGTATATCTGAGTGAAACAGCTTCTCAAACAACAAAAGAAATTTAGGGTGGGACTTGATTTTGTCCATGAGGAATTGATTGGATCACTGGATTTTTGTGGTTTGCTACTGATGTGATCTCATGTGACCTTGCGCCAATGTCATCAGAAAAGAGAAGAGATGTTGTTGCAAATGGGAGGGGAAGTAATTTTGAGTAAAGGTTATGAGGGCACATGAATACTTTTTTTTTTAAATAATAATAATAATGGTGTGCACAGATAAATCATTTCTAATAAACATTAAACATGATTGATTTTTAATTTGTGGTGACTTTTATGTTTGATAATGGGCACTTGGACACTTTTAAAAACCTTATTATGAAATATACCACACACATCCTCTTTAAAAGCAAGTTTTATTTTCAGCTACCTGAGAGACTGCGATTTGTCTCAGAGAAAATGATTGCTTTGCAACTGCATTGACCTGAACTGATCCATGCATAGTGCATACGTTTCTCACCATGCATCGTGGACACAGCCACTCTCCATTGGGAATCTCAGGAAGAGGTGGGTTGAGACAGTGGATGTGGTAAGAGGAAGGGCAGGTATCACAGCACAGCAGCTCTCCTCCATCCTTACACACTCTGCAGAACTCCATGTGGTCATCTTCCTCCTCACCTGCAACCTCGTCTTCCTCCTCCTCCTCATCTTTGGCCTCCCACTGAATGCCTTCTTTTTCCTGAGAGATGAGGCAGTAAACTGTCAATTCAAATAGCAGAGGTTCTGTGGTCTTGAATATACTAGAATGTATTGTTTTGAATCTATATGCTCGTTGTCAAGCAGGAAGCTATTTCCTCACGCAGTGGGGGCAGCTCCATTTGCCTTCTGGGGCTTTCTCCAGTTCTGGATCCAGACACACCAGGTGATATGCTCTGGGACAGGTGTCACATAGAATGATCTCTCCTCCCTGCTGACAAACCTCACAGTAATCTTGATGGTCTGTCTCGTAGCCGTCTCCATCCTCTCCTACACGAATACAGTTTAATGAGAAACCTGTTATTGTTTTATGGAACAGAAGTATTGTGCAATTTCAACACATAATACTTTATAATTTTAAAAACAATATTTCAGTACAACAATGATTCTGTCATTAAGACACCACTGCTTAATTTGGGGTCAGTAAGACTTTTTTTTTTTTAAGAAATAAATTATTACTTTTATTCAGCAAGGATTTAATCAAAATTTATCAAAAGTTTATAATGTCTACAAAAGATTTCTAATTAAAGTCAGTTTTTTTTTTCTTTTGAACTTTCTATTCACCAAAGACAAGTGAAAATAATTTATCAGTTTCCACAAAAATGCTAAGCAGCACAACTGTTTTGAATATTGATAATAACAAGAAGTTTCTTGAATTAGAATGATTTCTAAAGAATCATGTGAGTAATGATGCTGAAAATTCAGCTTTGCCATTACAGCTCCAACTTTAGCCGGAAATAACATTATTCAAAATCGCTATAAAGCCAAAACAATCTCTGTTACCGTAAATTGTATGTTTATCTCTGTAAAGCTGCTTTGAAACAATCTCCATTGTTAAAAGCGCTATATAAATGAAGATGACTTGACTTGACTTGACAGGAATAAATTACCTTTTAAAATATATAATAAATTATAATAATATTTCATAATAATACAGATATTACTATATTGTTGATCAAAAAAAAAAAATGCAGCACTGATGAGCATAGAAGCTTATTGACCACAAACCTTTGAACCTGGGTTTTTTTTTACTAAAACTATACTTTTTTTTTTGTTATTTGAAATAAATCTGAAATAAAATATAATATAAATATTAGATTAAAAATTTAAACTAAACTTAAATTAGAAAATGAAATAAAGAAAAACTATTTAGAAATATTTAATAATAGTAATAATAATAATGACAAACGCACATAACAAAATCACTAAATTACTATAATCATAATTATTATAAAAAGTAAAAGCACTTCACTTTTTCTTTTTTTTCGCCCTCGGCGGGTCGACTTCTTTTTTGGTGCCGCTGAAGTGTCTGAGAGTACAGAGGCACTGTGAATGCTGATGTCATCAAAGTCTGAAAAGTCATCCAGGAAATCTTCCTCGCTCTAAGAAATGAAACATTCAAAAGTCTCAGATCAGAAGCTACCAAACCTGAGAAGGTCATAACATGAAAACCAACTTCAGAAAGTACCTAATAAAACTGGGTGGAACCAGAAATCTAAGCAAGTAGATCTATACCAACAATTCATTAATTGTTCTGGGAAGTGGAAACTATTAGGAACGGTAAAAACATCTAGGGAATCTTTCCATGTGATATAGGTTAAGCCCTTGTAAGTTTTCAGACACTCACCGAAGATCCTTTTTTCCTTTTTCCACCCTGGCCTGCTTTCGATTTGGACTTCTTCGGTTTCCCTTTCTTTTTTGTTTCTTTCACTGACTTACTTTTTTTTTTTGCGCCAGGCCCTGCAATGCAGTCCAGATGAGATAAACAAAACAGAAACGTTTTTTTATGAGATCTGAAAACAATACTCCATTCTACAGACATAAATAAAACACATTTTTACGTTTGCAAACCTGCATTTTTGTAAAGAAGCTGAAATGATATATGTATACAACAAAGTAAAATTATATTAATTAAAGGTATTGTAGGTAGAATTTTTTTTAAAAACTTTTTGCCAAATTTTTTTAAACTTTCTATATATATCAATGCATAATTAAAATGTAAGTACTCTGGAAAAGAGAGTATAAAAATCGAGTGTCTGTAGTCCTCTCAGGGCTGTAATAAACACAGCTACTTATCTCCATTCACTTCCACCCCCTCCATTCTGGGCTCCTTCCAAAACCACGCCCCCAAAACACATGAACGTGCGATGCCGACAGCTCACAGCTGGAGGACGCGCTTACTAGCGCCGAGCGGAGAGGAGCAGTGCATGTAGTGACATCATGTCAGACTCACATGTAATAAAATACCTAACTTTATCATTATGAATATAAACAACTAACATGGCTGTTAATACTCACTATCAAGCTAGCATATCGATACTGTTAAAGTTTAAAATATATTGAGTTTGATTCGTTAACGAGCTAGTAACATAAAGCAAAGCTAAAAACAGGTTGCATTGATACACGTTTTCCCATTACAATCAGTTACACTGTGATGAAGGTGAATTTTGTGTAAGATTCATAACATATACGCCGTGTTTTGCATGTAATTGTGTCTCTTACTAGTCTCTTACCCTCCTCGAGTCAAACGAGTGCGCGCATGTGGGCAGCGCATGTAGCAGCGGGGGTGTTGCCATGGTTGCGAGAGAGTGACAGTCGCCTAAGCCAATCCTTTGTTTCGTCCCGGAAGGAAATAATGAGCTGTGTTTAGTGCAGATTAAACGGTCTAGAGTCACTCGATTTTTATACTCTTTTTATCAGAGTACTTACATTTTAATTATGCATTGATATATATAGAAAGTTTAAACAAATTTGGGAAAAAGTTTTTTAGACCAAAAACGACCTACCCAACCTTTAATTAATATTTTGATGTTAAAATACTTCCTCTTATCCCAGCTTAATATCCAGTCAAATATAAATAAACCATTCATAGGATGAAATTAAACTCTTCACTTTAAAGTTGCAAGCACATTTCGGATAAAGAATTACCAAATGTCAATCATTAATCATGTTACATATGTAAACGATGTAAAAACCTCCACTAACTGCTTTAGAAATCCAACCCTAGATAAACAAAACGATTATTACGTTACCCTTTCCCTCTTTGGTTTTGGCTTTTTTGATTGGCCCAGATGGTGAGATCTGTTGGATACTTCTAATACAAATTGGCGGAGCCACATTGACAGTTTCCACGGCAGCCGCCACAGCAGCCGCCACAGCAGTTGCAGAGGTGCCTTTAAAAGGGTTGTTCGCGCTGAACTCTCTCCATTTTGCTCCAAGCACTGTCATCATTTTTGACATGGGGATCTTGGGGTTCTTCTTGGCAATGAGGGGCCTAACCACAAAAAAAAAATGGCAAAGAAAAAACTCTTCTTAGACACTGAAGTTGAGATTAGTGTGGCAAATTAGCTACGATATGCCATGCATTGTGGTGATTTTACTCTAGGTAAAGGATGTTCTCAGGAAGTATGAATCAGAAATTGGAAATATATACTAAAAAGAGTGTCTATCACATAAAATATCATGCTGGTTACAATAGACGTGCATTGTGTGGGTCTGACAGCTCATCTTGTTTCAATCCCTGTTATTAGAAAACCTGTCATCATAATGTAATTACTTCATACAGGCATTAGCACTTGCCAGAAGGAATGTTTTAAAATAGAACACAGAGCATTGACAGCAGAGTATTAGAACGAACGTCCAATCAGATGGACTTTGAAATCCTACCTAAGAAACTGGCTAAAGGCTTTGTAGTTGGTGATGGTTTTATAGTCGTCCTCTGAGAAGGCATACTGCACATCTTCGAGACCCCACTCTTGCATCAGCTGACTGGATGACTTTGGTTCCTGGTGTCACATGAGAAACCGTTATTCATTTATTCCCCTGGCTAATAGAGCATAATAGAGAAATTCTATGTGAGAACCTTCATGTTTCCATCATCGTCGTCATCATCGTCCTCATCATCCTCTTTCTTTCGCTGTTTTGTTTTCCTCTCCTTCTTCTCTTTGGGTTTCTTCTTTTTCTTCTTCAGGGTGCTGTAGGTGCTGCTCTCACTCCCCGACCTGTGACCACGATCCTCTCTATCTGACATGTCATCCAGCCCGCTAGGAAGCCCCTGTGGGTGCAAGCACAGACATTAATGGGAGGAATTGTAATGCTCAATATGGCGGCTGTAGGATTGAATGTCCAGTCTAGCCTTTCAGTTAAAAGAGCCAATCTGCTTTTTAGTGGAGTTTGCACATACATTTCCCGGACCCACCTGAAAGATACTTTTCAGGTTTAAGCATGATTTTAGTGTGAAGCACAATTTATGATACCATTGTTGAATTATTGCTGATTCAGAAATGATCATAACAAACAGTTTTAACAAAGTAGCCAGTGTTTCCCATGAATTACCATAATGATAATCAAACCAGATGATTCATAATTAACCGAAAATGTACTTCTCATGATAACATAAAAGATCTTTACCGTTATGTTTTGTGCCATTGCTTTAGCAAAGCATCTGTCAAACGAACACTGAAATAGCAATATGGCTCAGTGCTCTTATAAAATCGCTGATGTGCTGCGTGTTTCAGAGTGAAGCACAGCACTGTGTTCATTTAAACACGGACAGCTCATGATGATGTTCTGTTCAATGTGCAGTTGGGAACACAACGTGCGCCAGTTATGCTTTCTTTTCACATTCCCATAATAAACCATAATTACCATAAAAGACAGAATCAGATGATGACAGACTTTCACTAAATTTGCAATGAGAAGCATTTGACAACCTGTTGTCACAGAAAATTAAAGGGCAAGGTCATCCCACCATTGACAGGCCACACAACTACCACTTTGTCGCTTGGTTGTTCATAAAGAGATTGTAAACTAATCCATATGTATCGAGTGGTTTAGTCCAAATTTTCACAGATTGAATTTAGGGTTTTATTCACATAAACATTGATCAGCAAATATAAACAGAAGCTCAACTGTATGTGCTTGATGCGTAAGAACAAATCTTGTATGGCGTTATTTCCCTGTCAAATGTCGAGAGCGCATTATTGTAGCGCGAAAGTACATTAATATAATGCGCGAGCGTGAATCTCTCTGCTCGCGCGCGGAATATGATGTGCCGAGCGTGAATCTCTCTGCTCGCGCGCAGAATATGATGTGCCGAGCGCGAATCTCTCTGCGCACGCGCGGAATATAATGTGCCGAACGCGAATCTCTCTGCTCGCACGCGGGAACTGGGCGCGCGCTCTCAGATACACTTCTCTTGTAAGAATTCTCTCTCTGGGCTCGCTCAGAGAATATGCCTGCACTTAAAACGTGTTCAGTGCAATCGCGAATCTCTCCTCTTCCCCAGCTAACAATTTTAGGTTATAAGAACGTTTTCATAACTGGAAGTCCAGTTTTTTAGACGTTGTATTAACGTTATTTCTTGGTTATAAGAACGTTAGAACGTTCAATTCTCCCTTTATATAAACGTTGTATTAACGTTCTTGCTTGGTTATAAGAACGTTATTCAAACGTTCAATTCTCCCATTATATAAACGTTCCCTTAATGTTTATCTAAGATAATGAAAAACGTTTCATTCAATAAAAAAAACATTATTCAAACAAGTTAATTTATATAGCTCATTTTTACAACAGCCACTGGCTGGCCAAAGTGCTTCACAGAACAGCAGAAAAAAGGGGGAAAAAAACCCTACATAACATATGGAATAGCCATTTCTGATTGGTTGTTGCCGTTTTGACAGCGTTTATGCCAAGAGCAAAGAGAAAGAAATCGAAGAGAAGAGTAATTAGGCATGCGCGAACGCACAGGACACAGTCTAAGCCCATACACGCTTACTTTAAACGAAGAGGAGAGATTCGCGATTGCACTGAACACGTTTTAAGTGCAGGCATATTCTCTGAGCGAGCCCAGAGAGAAAATTCTTACAAGAGCAGCGTGTATCTGAGAGCGCGCGCCCAATTCCCGCGCGCGAGCAGAGAGATTCGCGCTCGGAACATTATATTCCGTGCGCGAGCATTGAGATTCACGCTCTCACATTATATTAATGTACTTTCGTGCTACAATAATGCGATCTCGACATTTGACAGGGAAATAACGCCATAATCGTATTGGTTCTTGCGGGAGCTCAAACATGCTGTGTAACACGAGAATGAACCCCATTGGTTCTCGCACGTCAAGCTACCATATCTGATGTGTGCGTTGTGAATAAAAGCCTAAATAAAATCTATTTGTCATAAAAAGCAACCATGTCTCTTCAGAAAATTTGCACTTAACTAGATTCTTATAAATTAGTTTTACGATCTCTTTATAAACTTTTTGAAGGGTCAAAGTGGTAGTTGCATGAACTGTCAATAGAGGGTCAGAAATCTCTCAAATTTTATTAAAATATCGTGATTTGTGTTTTGAAGATAAACAAAAGTCTTATGGGTTTGGAACGACATGAGTAAATGATGACAGAATTTTCATTTTTTGGTGAACTAACCCTTTAAAGGTCTCCCGGTAGTTAAGAAATAAAGACATAAGAATTGTAATTTCACTACTGTAAAATAATTATTACAATATAAAATAATTTATTTATTTTACACAACAGTTGTATTACAATAGTGATATATTTTTGTCTAAGAGATCATAATAACAATAATTTTAAATGATGATATTATTATTATTATTATATGAATTACCCCATTCATTGTAGCTATACATGCTTATGTCCACTGTACACAGAAAATAGCTTGTCCTAAAGCGACTTTGGTGCAGGCTTATTAAAAATAGCACTATAAACTTTATAATGGACAATTTAAGTATTCGGGAGCACAAAAATCTTGCCTCTGGAAAAATATAACTTCAGTACTTTGTAGGAGCATTGAAACAGAGATCCTTTAAACTGGTAAAGACCTTGCATCCATAGATGTTAGGCCTAATTAAAAACAGACTTTTACTATGGCATAACTATTGATAAATGTACAATCAACTCCACATTTTCAATAAAGGAAAAAAACAGATCATTACGACACTATTATTAGTAACATCTGGAAGCAGGGAAACCAATCAAAATGATCATACTGCTAGGGAACGCACGTTTCTGTGGGTGAATTACTGTGAGTGTGTGTGTGCGTGTGATTGGAGAAAGCCTGTTGCTGTGCTGCAGCTGTGCACTGGCTGGCAGCCGGCATTGCCGCAGAGCGCACAAGCTCCACCAGCAGCCGTTCGGAGTTGCCATGGAAACCAAACTGTGCAGTGTTGGGTGGGGGGGGTGGGAGGGGGTGTAAGGGGAGCTCTCTCCACTGCAGCAGCCAATGGAACAGCGCCATCCAATCAGATGCGTTTGCATAACGAGCTTGTTATGAAGAGTCCCCATGGTTGCAGTGCCTGTGTTCTAGGGCCCGTCTAGACAAATCTCTATCACGTAAATGGGGGAGGGAGAGCGAGAAAGTGAGAGAGGAAGAAGAGAGAGGGAAAGAGGAGGGATGCTTGTGCAAGAGGCAAAGACTAGAACCACTAAAGGGCTTCACAGCTGGAGTTGAAAGGTCTCCCAAAATCTAAACCACAATAATCTGACAATGAACCTCAAAGGGAAAAAAGATCCAATGTAAACAATGCCACAAAGAGGTTTTCAGGCTGACACCATCCTGCACTTCTTCCCTATAGAAAATGCAGTATTTTTGTAGAAATAGTGCAGCTAAAAATGAAAATTCTGTCATAATTTACTTACCCTCATGTTGTTACAAACCTGTCTGAGTTTCTTTCATCTGTGTAACCCGAAAAAGAAATGTGAGGCAGATTTGCCATTTTAAAGGCATCATCATCGGCTCTTGTGACTTTTAACAATAGCCTACATTGAATATTAAATCTAGTTTAGTGACAAATGGGAAGATATTGAACAAACAAATACAATTTCAGGCTTTTCCACATTATTTTGTGGCTTCACAAGAGTGATATGAGCTGCATGAGAGTCGTATGAACAAAACATTTATTAATCTGTATTTTCATCTTATTTTAGAGTAAAAATATACTTATACTTAAATATACTTACTAAACATACTTAAAACAAAACACATTTATTCCAGAATCAATATTGCATTAAGACATTTTCAGAGAAAATATCTTAAATTAAGCTTATTTTACTTACCCCAATTAGTTTTTTTGTTCAACATTATACAATAAGGTCCTATTAGTTAATGTTAGTTAATGGATTAACTAACAATGAGCATTTGTTACAGTATTTATATACAACTGTTCATTGTAAGTTCATGTTAGCTCAGGCCCATTAAATAATATTAACAGATATAACTTTTGATTATAATAATGTATTAGCAAATGCTGAAATTAACATCAACTGCAGGTAATAAATGCTTTAGAAGTACTTTTCATTGTTAATTACATTACTGATGTAGTTAACGTATGGTAACAAATGGGACTTATTGTAAAATGTTACCTTTTGTCTTGTTTTAAACATAAGGTTTATATGCTTGTAATATCGATGTGTTAACATCTTTTATTTGACATTTGATTTTTTTTTTCTAGAAAACAACACAATAATACAAATATTTTATGAAATTTTATATTTTAGAAATGTTTTTTTTTTTTTCAGTGGTACCTCTGTGCTCCTTTTTTTGTCCTTTTTGGAGCTTGACAGCCCCAGTAACTATTCACTTTAATAGAAAGTATGGAGAGAAACAAAGCAGCGTGAACACTGCTGCCAAAGAAAGTCACACAGGTTTGGAAAGACATTAGGGTGAGCAAATGGTGAAAGAATCTTCATTTTTGGGTGAAATATGCCTTTAAAAACTGCATTTTCTTTGGGAATGCACTGCATAATAGTGTCAGACATCTTCAGGATCTTTTTTCCTGTGAGATATTTTTTCCAAAAACATCCTCGTCTTCAACACACCCAGACCAGAAAAAAAAAAAAACACTCATCTGTACAACTGAAATGTCACTTATCATTGTTTACATCTGAGAAAGCATCAGTTCTCACTCTCCTGTTACAATCCCCAGACTCTCCACAGTCCATCAGTCCCCGGCGCAGGTGGCCGGCTTTGGCGAGCTGAGCTGTTAGATTTGCGGACAGCAGAAGGGCAGGCGAAGGTTTTGACCTGCATTGATTTGAGCCTGTGTCTGACACGGCACTGCAGGGAGAGCATGACTGACGCCAAGCGGGGCTCTTAGCTGCTGAAGGGAGACCTCTCTGCCCCCTCCACGGCACATTTAACACTGCTGAGAAGGAGGGAGGGTTGAGAGAAAGACTGAATCTGTGCAAGGAGGCAGAGAGATAGTGAGGGAGGGTTAGGGCAGAGAAAGAGAGGAATCCCTCTCATTATCTCAATGGTAAGCACAGTCAGCTGGGGGGACTGTGACCGACTAACCTGTCAAACGTTTTATCTCTCGCCAAGGCGGGGAGGGAGGACTGACTGAAGGGAAAAAAAGCTGATCGGTAAACAATACAACAAAATACCCCGAGGTCAGGAGAGTCGTTTCATACTGATCATTCACCTCATGAGAGCAGCGCTTATGCCACAGCCTTGTCGACAATAGCGCACCTGGCCTTTCTTATGAGTGCTATTATGTTTTGTATGCTGAAGTCAGACCAGGGCGCTACTTGTTATATGGATGGTCTAATGTCAGCGTAACTTTTCTGAGAAGAAACCCTGTTTTTCATAAGATAGTTTCCATTTGTAGTGCCTTGTCTTCTGTGGAATACAAAAGAAGATATATTTTTTTGGATAGTTTAGAGAAGAAAATAAAATCATACTATGAAAGTATGGGGTTCAATGTTGTTTTGGACCCCATTGACTTTCATTGTATGGACTTTTGTGTATTGTTCAGAACAAAGAAAGTCATGTAGGTTTGGAATGACATGAGGGTGAGTAAATGAGGAGAAA